GTACACTCTTCATTAATGTGAAGAACAATCTATTTTTTCATGTTATTGGCGATGGCAATGTCACGCAGCTTTACTAGCTCAGATATCGTCGTTTAACTCTATCGTTTATGAGTAGAATTAAATATTGTTCACTACATATTAAATTAAGGTAGATCAGCTGTATACCTTGTTTAATTAAATGAATAAATATTATTAGTTTATAATTATTATATCTATATCTATCGATATAATATCGTAATTTTTATACGTCGAAAGTCGATTTAGTGATTCTTTAGATGCTACATGGAATAAATTTAGTGCTTACAATATTGTCAGATTAATATTACTAATAACAATATAATGTCTTGCTTGTTTTGATACCGTGATGTTCCAGAATGTAAGTTGACCTTTAGGGCAATGTGTGACAAAAACTTTGATTTTATTTATGTATACCCTTATTCGTTTTTCTTTGGGCTTTTAATAATAACTACGAAAAGAACCCAGTTACTTATGAACAAGAATCTAAGGTACCTAAATACTACCATACTTTGCAACAATAATAATTTTACTTAGGTATTTTTTGTAAACAACTGCAAATAGAATTGTGGCTGACATTGTGATGCTAATGAAACACGATTGTTTAAAAATATTACCATTCAAACAAAGCATTTAGTAGATATTCGAAAGAAGATTTGAAAAATTAGGCGTAACTTTAAGAATATAAATTATATATACTGTGAAATGGTTGCAGAGACCAATTATTCCGAAGTGAACGTTGTGAAGGGACTCTACTGTGTGAGCTTTATACTGATTGCAAGAATAATAATTAAACTTCATAGACATGAATGCTCTTGGCTTCCTACTGGCACTGAGCAATATAAAGGTAAGTCCATATTAAGTAAATGTTTGTGTCCAAGCTATTCTGAAAATGGAGTTTCTCATAAAAGGGAATGAGCAACATTGTATGTAATTAAAACATTAATGTTGTCTTAAAACCACTTTTTGCATTTAAAAAAAGAATTTGGTCAGTAGGTTCTTTGTTCGTGTATTATCGGCTAACAAAGTACAAATATCAGTATATTTATTGGAAGTTTTAATAGTTGGAACTAACACTTTATTAGGACTGTACTGCTTCTGATTCTTATTTAATTATAGTATTAAATTTAATCCAAACTGTTATAACCGTTTCCGAGATACCTATATGAAATAAATTCAGAAGTATTTGCTAAGCTATGTAATTATATATCTACATAAATGCCGATTATATATTTTTAAGTACATACATATTACAAGCAGATTACAGGCCCAGACATAGAACATAAAAGTTGAACATAGAAGTTAATAAAAACATGCGCCAAATAGACTGGTTTTTATATACCTATATATCTACAAGTTTTTACCTACAACTATACTAATATAAACTTCTAAACTAACGTTATGCAGAGGTAAAGTTTGTGAGTTTGTATGTTCTTGGTAATCTCCGATTTTGAAAATTCTTTCACAGTTACACATGGTATATTATCCCTAAGTGCTATAAATTACTTTTACTTTCAAAAGCTACTAATACATAAGAATGAAGAAATATTCATTTAGTAAAATCACATTATCACATTACTTCAACAGCCTTTACTAGTCCACTGCTGGACATAGGCCTCTCCATAGGAAGGAGGTTTTGGCCTACTACACCACGCTGGCCAAACGGGTTGGTATAGGGTTTGTTTCAAGTTTTCCTTCTCTTTGCAGTGCTGTTGTCCTGCGTAGTTTGCTTCCTTAGTCCCCATGAATATCCCTTACCGCATAGGGGTGGTGACACTCTGTATTCTTAATCCGTCAAAACACGGACTTAGTAAAATATGTATGTTGCTAAATTATGTTTTAGCATTGGCAATCCTAACCAATTTGATTTTTTGTCGATTCAAGAACCGGAATTGCTGGGTAGTCAAAATGCATGCTACATTTAGCACAAACGTCATCGTTTACTTAATTATCACTTGTATTGCCTTTGACTGTCATACATTGAATTAATATAAAATTGAGTTATATTATCGATGCGTCTTTACTAGAACTTTCTTTGAACTAAAACCTAATAGCGTTGAAATTAAAAATTGAAACAAATAAATACACTTATTTTCGTATACATTACATTAGTTAGGATACTGTACGACTGTACAAATAGATATTTTTTTAAACTAACCCTAGATTAACACGAAACGTCACAATAATAAAAGACTTAGCAAAAGCAATGACTGAACAAGACTTAGCAATTATTACGGTTTACTTAGCATTTCGCGGTGAATCAAATCCAAACAATGATCTATTAGTGTCAGTCTGGTGCAAATTGCTACTCATCTATTCATCTCTAATGACGTATCTTGACCACGTCCATGCCTCTAATATTCAGATACACATTGTGAGTTAAATTAAATGTTTCCATGGCAACCGTTCCGTGTTAATAGTGAAAACGTAGTTTAGGAATCCTCTCTTGTATTTTTGGTTCCATATGAATTTGAATAAAGTTCCGAAACAATATCATAAATCATCAAGCAAGAGTCATACTTTATGAAATACGAAGTTTAAAATCATAAAACATATTATCTTTCAATGGTGGAATGGACGGATGGAATGGAACCCACGACTTCTGGCTCGGCAGCCACAATTGCTTTTCTGAATGGTTAGTAACGATTAACTATTAATATTTTCCATCAGACGGGACGTCAGTTCATCTGTCAACTTATTAGTAAAAGAAAACAATTGCACACATATATTTTATCACAAATATCGTATACAAAAAAATACAGTGACACAATCCCGGCAGTCGCGTCTCGACATTCGAGCCATTCAAATCAACTGCATAGTGTAATTTGTGCGAATCAAGATACAATATCATTTTGTGTCAATAACATTAGCTGATATTGTTGCTGTTGGCTGTTGGGGTCTATTATGTTGTTATTCGTCTATGTTAAAACATATTATAAAAGCTGTAACTTTTCCCTTGCTATTTTTCTTCTTTGTATAAGAATACAAAGAATTGGCGTAGAGTCCTAAACGTAAGTTATTGTAGAATTTAAGCTCTAAAATACTGCAGTTAATCTTGCCATAGAACTTGAAGTAGTTTTCCAGGCGCTTTATTTCTTAGTTATTTATTAATTCTAACAAATAACATCAACTTGAGAGAGAGATTAAAAATTTCACTGATGAAAATAGCTTTTATTTAGGCTTCGATGGCCTAAAAGTATTTTTCCGTTCCTCAGATTTTTTTCCGAATGAAAGGTAGCTCTGGTACTGCATTTGTAAAATATTATGGTAATCCGATTTATTGTATGGTAGCGCACAAAATACATAATTTCTTCTATAAATGAGAAGATAAACTATCAGGTGTCAGGTTTTACTACGCCAAACTGTAAAATGGAGTAGTCAATTCCCGAACCGATATATTTGCTTAAGAGCACAATTGTACAATAAAAGTCAAAATAACATCATTTTCAGTCTAGATAATGACGCGGCTGCCAATGAATGAGGTACTTTCATACCACAGAACACTCCTTATTCTTAGTAAATTATCTTGCAACTTTACCTGATAAGTTTGCGAGGAGTTAGAAATTCAACCAAAATAAATCACAATGAAAGTCCTTTTTTTACAGGGTACCTTGTAGAAACCTTTTAAGAAACAGAAAGCTCAAAGTATATTATTTATATGCAAAAACGAGGTATTATGTATGTGAATTGCATTTTTTTTTCTTTTCTTCATCATCAGCCTATCGCAGTCCACTGCTGGACATAGGCCTCTCCCATTGCACGCCACTTAGATCGATTTTGGGCTTCTCGCATCCAGCTCCTGCCAGCCATCTTGCGCAAATCGTCACTCCACCTGGCTAGTTATCCTCCACCTGGTTCGTCTATTATTATTTTTTTCTTTTCTTAAAAAAATAATAATAGACGAACTCAGATATATGACCTACGTATTGAAGACAACAGATTAATAAATTATTATTGAAATAGAAGTAGCTTTATTATTACTGGCCATGATCACATAAAAACGTCACTAGTCATCCCAAAAAATTTAAAGTGTTTTGACATTTGACTTTGCTACTAACAAATATTTAGATACAATTTAAATAGTTCAATACAACTAATCGGTACCTTGACTTGTCATATCACTATGCACCCAGAATATGCTACTGTCAATGAAATATGCATTGATGTAAGCACGTGAACAAAATATTCATGACAAAATGTTATACTGTTGCACATTTGTTCACAGTACAGTCAATGTGTTTAAATAACTCTGAAGTTATGAGACAGGGAGTGCACAAAGCTCTACTTTTAAATATTATTTGAAAAACTCAGTTAAATGTTTGGAAAGAGGAATACTTTCTTAAATATGGTCCATAAATATATGATCAGGTTACAAAATAATTTCAAGCTCTGTACTGTGCTGTACTAATTTTATATTAGATACTGTACTACCAACCATTTATTGAAGCCAACATTTGGTTGGTGACAGTAAAATAAACGTAAAGTGTAAATAATATGGTTCAACAGCGATATTGTTAACAATAATGATTATATCTACATTTTGCTTCTGTTCCATGTACAAATGACGTAATTTATTATCAAAACAATAATGAATTTTATTAAAACGTTGCTCTTGTTTTGCTCTGTTTGTTATCGCTTCAATTAGCAGTGCAAAAGTTCATGCACTTGACATTTATCACAGGAATTATACTTATCAATATTTACTATATTTCTACAGTCAATGTCACTGATCACTATAATAAGTTAACATTTTAATAATGAATGAGTAAGTACAAAAATAAAATAATAGTTTTGACACGAAGCAATCAAATATCATACACACTTACATCCCGTATTATAAGCGTGTAACACGCTAGGCGATAATAAAATAAAAACAGACGGTCGCCCTTTGTTTACAAATGACGCATGAGGCTCGAAGCACATGCAATCTATAAGTCGCGGAGTCGTTTACCTTCCGCGCGACGAGACGCCCGCCATGTGCGTAGATGCGTAAGCGCAGCGCGACGTACGGCGTCGGGCAGAGAGGCGGTGCTCGCGGCGGAGCGCGGACGATGCCGCGCTGGCTGTGGGCGGCGATGCTGGTCTTGGCGACCGGCGCTCGCGCTTGGACTCCACCGGACCATCTCGTACTAGCGCCGAGACTCCGGCGACATACAGCACAGACCAATTCCAGACAACTTCAACTACTTGGATGGCAACTGGAGTTACATGAGAACAGAGCTATTCGTTCGCCCTTCTACAACGAGTGCCAGTTTTATAAGGGTCGAGTAATAGACGAGAAGGAGTCTTCGGTGACAGTTACTGAGTGTGACGGACAATTGTATGGACTGCTGCAGGTAGGCAATGAAGAGTTTGTGTTGGAACCGACAAGAACTGAGGGATCGCACGTGCTTCGACGGCGTGATGTGATGTTATCCGAATGGACAACTGCTTACAATCTCACAGGTGATACAGTAACGGACCTTGAACTTGACTTCGAGGATGAGGATGACCCGGTACTAATGCCGCACATACATCCTCGACACAGCGATTCTCCTTCTGTGGACTACTATCGCGGAGTGCGCACTATCAGTAGACCAATTTCAGGTGTGTGTGAGTGTAAAGTAATAAAAGGTTCACTTAAAAAAGGTTGGATGTGCAATTACGTGATTTAAATGTTCCAGGTGTCAAAGGTTTATGGCTTGAAATGGCTATTGTGGCTGACCATACGATGCTGAAGTTTCATGGGAAAGAGAGAGTGAAACACTACATTCTAGCACTAATGAATATTGTGAGTATATAGCACGAAGCAGAATCAAAGCGCACTTATGTTTATTTTGGTCCGACGGTTTAGTGTGTGCATAGTTTTACTCATTCAATCTTTATGTAACACATTATAGGTCAGTGCCATCTTCAATGATCCCTCACTGAACTCGAACATGACTCTTGTAATCAACAAATTGTTTTTATATGAAGAGAAAGATTACATAATCAAATTTGGAAATGTGAAGAAGTCTTTGGAGGCTGTAAATAAGTGGAATTATAGGCATTTAATGAAGTTACCACCAGGTATTGTATAACTTTTAATTTGGTTAATTACTAATCCTTAACCGGCACGTAATGAAATATGTGCGGCGAATTATACATAATGTGCGGCGACAGCCATGTCTTGTAGTTTATTCTAAGATTTATTTTACAAGATTTATTATAACAACTTCCGCTACCGGCGCTAACTCATAGTTTTAGTATCTCGTTATAATGGCACGCGTCGCGCTTTTTCTCTGAGTTATTTTACTTTACAACTCGTTGATACTTTCGCTGATACTTTGAAATCTAAAGGATTTTTGCCTAGAACACGTAAGGCGTTTAAAATTAAACATAAATTGCTTAATAGATTTGATTATTTATGATACATTAATAGCTAGAAAATAACAATGATAAGGAGCATAAATACAGCAAACAAGAACTAAAAGCTGATAAAATATTGCGTAATAATAATTTTGGCGGTTAGCTATGGTCCATTTTTAAGTGTTTAGTGTATTCGACGTCTAAACCCGTCATGTTTTAATTTAGCTTGAATCTCTATCAGTATTTAAGATTCAAGCTAAGTTAGAACAACATAACGTTAATTCCCTTACCCCTTACTAAGTGACAGGATATCCAAATAATGTTTAACTTAAGGATTTTGGAACTCTGACAATAGTTTGTGCCAGTTAGTAATTTTGTACGCAGTATCGGGTTGGGTTGAAAGTCGAAGCTCACTGGGAATTGAAATGACATGGCTGAGAATTACTCACTGATGAACTAACATTGCCTATTTTGAAATTGAGGACGTGATCTTTAACCGTAGATTGAACCAATAAAATATGCTTCACGTTCGATAAAACATGCGTAATTTTTTTATAAATGATATAAACTTTTGTCGGTAACACGATAACCAACTATTATTTTTAATTTTATTTTAGGACAGTTGCTATGATTAGATCTTTATGCACGCCGTCTATAATTGGAAGGAATGTTATATTAATAGGTTAGGTAAACTTGTAATATGAGTTTTTGTACAACTAAATTCTAAAACATGCATGAATATTAAGTTACTTTATTTTTTGTCTGTCGCCGTTTAACAGGGTTGAATGATCAACGTTGAATGTATGATGGTGGCAAAAAAATATTTAATCTATCTTTTTAATCTTATCTTATCTTAATCTTCTGCAAAAGTAGATAAAGACCATATATCGTACCAAAATTTGAGCTTTTTTTTTGAAGCGTACACATACTAGCTTAACTTATTATATACACAAAACAACTTACATACTTAGATTGGAAAGTTTCAAAGTTGCAGTCAATTTTCAGAAATACGTATCCTAAAATAGAAAATCTATGGGTCACTTCGTTCTCTGTGTGACTCAAGACTTTCAAGACTTCTCAGGAACAGAAGGCCTAGTGCAAGTATATTTCACATCAACTCGCTCTCGACGGCGAGCGTTTTTGGCGTTGCGATTGGTGGAGATTTCAGTATGGACCAATCACAACGTTCGGCGTTGTGGTCACCGTGGCGATCGAGTAGATGTGAAATAAACTCACACTTATGAACATATCGAGATGAAATTGATATAAAATAATCTTGTCATTTAAAATAATCACGTTTCTTAGTATACGCAAACAAAGGTAGAGCCATTTCCGTTATTTACTTACTTTTCAAGAAGGAAGTCGTTGAACTGTCTTTATATCACAAAAAAAAAATCATTCGATTGCAAACGAATATTTTACTCATATATAAAGGATGGCACTGTTAAGTTTTACTCTCAACGTTATTCTTTGGGAAGAGATATTAAGGAAAAACGAGTATGAGATTTCGAGAATTGATTCCAAAGATTGGCCGAGATGGAGCAACTATCTATACACATCTTTTTACAGAGCCCTCGGTTCGCGAATCAGCATCGTATTAGTTAGTTATGAGAGACTAATTCACTGACTGATCGATCAATGCACAACTGAAACCGCTGAGTCTACAAGCATGAAATTATGAACAAATGTTCCGTTGGTGAAGTAGGTGAGCTATTGCTCATCCACGTCACCACAGAACATTCTTATTAGAAAGGATTTTAAAACAATCCACCCCTCTTCTTCTTTACCCTCGCCCATTCCCGTTACAGGGATGCCGATTTTCTTATCATGTGGTGCCATACATTTCGCTGGTGAGCATCGTCAGAGGAGAGGCCTAACACCCTCATGTCTCTTTGAAAATTTGTCATCCAGGTAGTTTGCGGTCTATCTCTTCCCCTCTTCTGTGTAGCATTGGAAAGGCACTTTTTCACAATATGATCGCGCTGGACTCCTGTCAGTTCATACCATTTATTCCATCCAGACGTCGGCGTCGTCCTGTTTGTTATATCCCCATCTATTGAACCATCATTTGGGATGACAGAACCCAAGTTTTTGAATCCCATCATCAAATCCTGATTTGGTGGTGGATCCCAGGGAAATCGAGGGAAACACAGGCCCGACAACGTGTTTTGGCTTGTTTCTCTAGATATATAGGTGTTTGCGTTTAGTAGTCGTTACGTAATGTTGCTGAGCTGATGATAGAAGGGTCCTTGACCTTTAGGAGTTAGGATAGCTCTTTAATAATCGAATCATGTATTGACCTGTTTTTTTCTTGCAAGATATTTGTTAGGTGTTTGTGTTGGGTTACAGAGATAGAATAGAATAGAATAATGTGGTATATACTGAACAAAAGAGTAATATGTGGTAATATGATGACAAATATGTGATTACAAAACCTTTGGACAAAAATATATATTTGTTACGCAATTATTTTCATGTTTGTTACCTGAAAACTCTTTCATTTGTAAACCGATTATGAAAATTGAATTTTTATATGGAAGGGTATATTTCCCCTTTAGTTTCATTCAAATATGTAAAAGAAATCCATTACTAGTTTTGGAAAATTAAGTAATGTAGAAAAAAAATATTTTCGGGTTCAAACGTAACATCTTACTCATCATCAAGAGCCTTTAATAGTCCACTGCTGGACATAAGCCTCTCCTGAGAAAGGAGGTTTTGGCCTACTATACCACGCTGGCCAGACGGGTTGGTAAAGGGTTTGTGTCAAGTTTTCCTTCTCTCTGCAGTGCTGTTGTCCTGCTTAGTTTTTTCCCTTAGTCGGCTCTTACGACACCCACGGGATAAATAGGGGTGGTGACACTCTGTATTCTTAATCCGTCACCACACGGACCTCTTACTATCTTATCTAAACAAAGTAACGGACTTATTAAACAATATTTAATTTAAGTAAAACTACCCTTAAAAAGTGGTGCAAGTTTGTATGGGGAACTATTTTTTAAGTTATTGATTCCAAACTCTCAGTATAATTCTCTTCTAACGAATTCGCGGGCAAAAGTTAGTATAACATAAATTTAACAGGAACAAAAATAAATGTGCAAAAGAACGAAATTAAAAACACTTGAGAAAACTTGAGATATCTTGGTAAAAGAAAATATTTTATCTGTGCGAATTAAACTCATAATTCAATAATGAATATGGTGCTTAGTGTACGACTTCAGTGGTACATTTTTTTTCCTTATTTAATACTAAAAATGTTTACAGATAGTACTGGTTGGGATGCAACAGTATGGCTAACGCGATCGCAACTTGGTGGCCCCTCGGGCTTCGCCCCTGTCGGCGGTGTCTGCTCCAGAGCTCGGTCCGCTGCGTTAGACCGGGACGAGGGATTAACCAGCGCCTTCGTCATAGCCCACGAACTAGGCCATCTGTGAGTACACACACTACTTATATTACGTTTAGAAAGACCTAGAAATTAATTATTTTTTATTATTAAATTGGACTTGGACTGAGGAAATAATTCAACTGCATAATAGCGACACTGTAGAAATATCTATTAACACACTGATACTTCACAAGAAAACCTAGTAGACATACATATATACATTACTATATTCCCATTCGAAAAATATAACAAGAATACTTTATGGTACTGTATGCTCTACGTGGTATATTTAATCAACAATCACACATAACGGTATCATCGTTTTGATGAAAATATTTAAATAATAAATTAAAAAAATACTTCAAGTCATTATCTGTCACTATATTTAACGAACAGTTTGCGCTATAAAACCCCATTTATATTTAAAACGACATTTCTTATTGTTGGAAGGTGTTAAAATTTAAATTATTTCATACTGTATGTATTTTCATTATTCATCTCAATTATGTTTGCTTTGATGAGATAAGATTTTAGTAATAAAAAACTGTTACTGAGAATTCCATTTGATGCCAGATTATAAGCTATTTCCGAACTTTCTAATATACTCTAAAGAAATGCATACGAGTCAGATAAAGTTGCTTAAAACTTTCTGAAACTAATGCACTCAGAAAGAGTCAAGTAAATTAAGCCATTATATTTTTTCTGTGCGGACAACCCCTCGAATGCTATGTAGCTATGTCGGACTCGAACCGATTAAAAAAACCGCACGCCGCCGCCGTCTCGGGTACCCCGACGTACCTCGGGCCATCTACGACGGGTAGATATTCTCCTCGTGTGTGGGAACCCCCATGTTCCTTTTGCCTGCTTCTGCTAGGGTGACAGATAGCCTCGCCTGTCACCCCCAACCCTTCGCTTATGGAGGACGCGGGTCCTCGCCCGTGCCCGGGCCTAGCAGGCCCGGAGAGTTCTAAACCTCTCCCGGTCAAGCGCCACCATCTCCTTCGCAAGCATAACTTGGTCCCACAAGGAGACAGCGGAGTTCCACGCAGTCTCGCTCGGCAACATGGCCGCAATCAAGAAACCGAGCGAGAGAAAGGATGTTTCGGGGATCACCTGTGTCTGATCCGCAAGGTGCCAACGCATGAGTGCCACCACTGCGATAGCCGGACCGTGGACACGGCGCTCCACATGCTGGCAGAATGGCTGGCGTGCGTGGAGCAGATTCGTGACCAAAAGCATCCTTTCCCAGTGATCACCTACGTCAATCGGTATGAAAGGGTCCTGTGATGCCTCTCGATTCAATCCTTCATAACGGGTCTTACCCGGCGCTCAGTTGCCCAAGTCCTTCCTTCCACTCCTCTACGAGGACCCGTTGGAGTTGGGATTTCTGGTCTTCGATTTTTCGAGTCTCAGGACTCCGACCTAACTCCCGCGACTCCTTGCGCCACTGATACAGAGTCGCAAGGGCTCGCACCTCCAGGGTCCCACGGTGGAGTTTCGGCCAGGAGACTCGCCGCCTCAAAACAGATCGTGCGGTACCCCCTTATGACCCTGATGGCCAGCACTCGCTGCGGTCGCCGCAGTAGTGCGACGTTGATGGTCTTCAGGGCCCCGCCCATACTGGAGTCCCATAAAGGGCCATGGATCGCAGAACCCCCGAGTAGAGTCTCCCGAGTCATCGGGCCAAAAGTAAATTACGCCTAATACCTAAAACAAAGCTTAGTAAAATTAATTAACAGGAAATTTAATACTCCTTAATGGAATAACAAAATCTATTGGTTGTTGCAAAGTTATAACATCGAAAATGACAAAATATTTTTATCAGGAATTAACTGAATTTTAATTAATATAATACAAAAAACAAATTAGTTTAATTAATTTGATTTAAGTAGTAGGTAATTATCTATTAGACACAGTTTACTTTACCAAGCTATTACATTTTACTAAGCTAGTATTCTTAGTTTCCAAAATCGTCAGATATCTTTATGTGACCCGGATATATTGCTATCAGGCGTAAACACTATGTACAAATCAAAAAATAGGTGTAATAAATCTCTCTCTATTCATTATACATACATTCCAACACAAGAAGGGAGACCAGATCTCTTGCGCTGTTTTTATCCGATGTCTCATATAAATCAATAAAACTTTTATTCATATAATTTTAAAACTCATATACGATTTGTTTCTACTATCTGAGTAATTACCTACATACAGTTCAACGATTAATTTCTATCTCCATATTATGTAATATTATACTATATACATATAATATACTATATACGTATGTACATAAGGTTCCCTTTATGTTTAAACATTCAATGCTTGATTTATCAAAGGATTCTCATCTGATGTGTAATCGGCGTACGTATTATGAACTTGTAAGAACATTTTTAATAAGTCGTTTGTAATTATCTCCTTATTACAAGCTCCTTCCATATTGTAGGTCAACGCTTCATTAACTCGATAAATTGCCTTTTATGAACTCTCACGGCAGAATATGAGGAATTCCAAATATTATCTTATTTAATTCAAGGTTCATCTTCATCTTCTTTAAGATATTACTATTGCAGTAGGTTGCCATACCATCATATTATTGGAGTCAGCTTCAGCCTGTCATACCGTTGTCTACTCTAGGTTTATTCAAATATAAATCCCTGACCGTTTCTCCGACTGTGTTCTAATAGCTATTACATCCAAGGTACATTTCTGTTTTGATAAAACATAGCACTTAATACTATGTATTTAGTAAGATTTTCTTAGATTTTTAAAACAAATACCTGGTGACGGAACTGCTCTTTTGCCCCCTAAAACTATGCAAATGATAAATTAAATGATTAAATATTGCAAATTATTTGGTATTGAAAGCTATGTTTCTAGTTTATACGAATTGTTATATCGTTGTGTCGCGTCTGGCCTATAAGGTCTGTCGTCGATATCATTTATGGGCTATTCATTGCCTAATTTAATTATATATTTTTTTACCCATACAGTATCTCAGGTTCCTGTTTTTTACACATAATTGACAGTACCTGTATACACATCACTTAAATACTAAAATTAAATGAGACACACGAATACAGTTAGAAATTTAAAATAATAACAAGTAATAATACTATTTATCACAAATTAATAACTTAAAATATAATAAGTACATATATAATAAGTCATAAATGCGAAAGTCTGTTAGTTGCATTTTTCTATGCATCCTGACACGGACACAGAAAAGGAAGTGGCATTTATACAAAACAAAAACAAACCGACTTCATTGCACCTGCATTATGATGAAAGTTTTAATAATTTGTATTCCTCAATTCTTATGCAGATGCTTGAATTGCCTACACTACAAGGCTCCTTATAGCATTCAAAATGGATATAAGTATTTAGGTACCAGTTAATTGACATTTAGGATTGCATTGCCTTCCACTGTAAGTAATTTAAATTTTGAATTTAGATTTGTTAGCTTAATGACTGCATACCTATAACCAAAGCAGTTAAATGTTTTATGGACGTACCTCATTGTAGCAACACCAACATTGCGAGTTCTATTTTTAGTTTACTAGCATTAAAATTTGATTCCATCAGCTTTGATTACCACAATGGTACAAAATATTTTGTTTTTGGAACGATGTTCCTTATCGCGCGTTACACACGCTGAGCGGATGGGAGCGAGACCGAAAAATGTGTAACAAGACTTTTTCCGACACTTCTTTCTTATTTTAGGAATCAGCTCCTAAAAATAAAACTACTTTCATGCAGTCCAGACTATGGTGATGTATGTTATTTAGACCTGAATGCAAACCTCCTTAATAAGCTGGACCGCCTTCTTAATAACTGCGTTCGGTACATTTACAACATTCGCAAGTATGACCACGTGTCAGCCTTACATTCCTAACTGAACCCATTCGACTGCGCCGCAATCACCGAGCTCTGACGTCTTTATATTCATTTCTTACCTCTCCATCCTCACCTACTTACCTTGCTCCCTACCTCCGTTTCTTGTCGTCTAATCACGATAGGAATCTTCGCTCTGCAAATAATCACAATTCCGACTTCGTGAAGCCTTCGTTCTTCGTTCAAGCAGTTCTACTCTGGAATGCGGTCCCGGTTGAAGTGAGGATGTCCACAAACCGTTCCGTATTTAAAAATAAAGTATACAACCTTCTTCTTAATGAGACGGCAGAATCATCGAATCGATAGCGCAGCAGCCAATTTTCCTATACACATGGTGTACGAATATAATGTGAATATATGTTTGTATGAGTGTAGCTACACATATATCTATGTAGTGTATGTATATATATATATATATATGTGTATGTATATGTAGGTATATATGTGTATTATATGTATTTGCTTGTGTATAAAATTACGTGTGTTGTGTTAGTGTATATCTTAGTGATTAGTGTTATAACCTATATGCGCCTACCACTCACGATTTCTACACTACCTAAAGGTTGACTGTCAGAGAATGCATAAAGTTAAAAATAAATAAATAAATATGACGAATAGTTTGCGAGTTTTTTCAAATTTATACCGCTTTCAACATTTCAAATACAATTTTTTTTATTCAATAGTTATAAAATAAACAGTTATATCGTGGAATGCTACTTCTACTACGGCTACGTTAAAAAAAACTTTATCTGCATTTTTTTTTCTTTTTGCTTTTATTAACCATCTCCTGGCCCAGTCGGTTGTTAACTAGAATTTTAATAATGAAAACTATAAAACAATGTATTAACTATACAAAAACAGTAAAAAAAACATAAAGTAAAAGATATAAGTTACAAAAAAAAAATAGGCTAAATTTCGGATATTTTGATAAAAATCTTAAAAGTCCAATTGAAAATATTTGGGTTTGGGATATGGTATTTTATAGTGAAATCCAACCCTTTAAATTATTTATGTTGACATACCCAGTCACCCTGTATATAGTTCAAAGTATTTACTGTCATAAAAAAAATTACCTATTCTGTAATGTCCTTCTCAAATTCAAAGTGTTCTGACCACTTAACCTTGTAGTCTCTTTATCTACAATGTTATTA